CGAAGTGAAACAATGTGAAACCGGCTGATCAATCAGGCTATTTCATTGCAACAGTTGAGGAAAAAATGGATGTCCGAGAAAGTTGAATGTCCAACCGACTTGGTCTAGACCAGGGGTGTCCAAACTTTTTTCATCAAGGGCCACATTTCTAAACACAGATGAAGCAGAGGGCCGATCGAGGGCCGGAGACTGGAGCTCAGTACAGTGAATAATTAAAATATGTGCATGTTTAACACTTTGGAATGAGCCGTCAGTCCTTATTCACTCTAAAATCCCCGAAACCACACATTAAATCTTTAATATTGGCTTTATCGAAGTAGATTTTCAAAAAACTTGCTGTAAAAAGTTCATTTTTAATTGATGCAAGGTTATTTGGGCCAAATCACCTGGAAGCCTGAGGGCCAAGAAAAATTAGTTCGAGGGCCACATTTGGCCCCCGGGCCATAGTTTGGACATGCCTGGTCTACACAACACAAAGCAGCACATAAACAAACACCATAAAACTAAGTAAATATGAGACCGAGTATGACCACGAGTGATGCACCAACAGGACCTTTAAATTATCCTTAACAGGCAAACCCTTGCATTCTTCTGTTCTATTAATTATTGCACATTCCCTAAGCCTATGTGCAGTTTTAGTTATAATTATTGCACATTCCCTAAGCCTATGTGCAGTTTTGATTGCACATTCCCTAAGCCTATGTGCAGTTTTAGTTATAATTATTGCACATTCCCTAAGCCTATGTGCAGTTTTAGTTATAATTATTGCACATTCCTAAGCCTATGTGCAGTTTGATTGCACATTCCCTAAGCCTATGTGCAGTTTTTAGTTATAATTATTGCACATTCCCTAAGCCTATGTGCAGTTTTAGTTATAATTATTGCACATTCCCTAAGCCTATGTGCAGTTTATTTAATTATTGCACATTCCCTAAGCCTATGTGCAGTTTTGATTGCACATTCCCTAAGCCTATGTGCAGTTTTGATTGCACATTCCCTAAGCCTATGTGCAGTTTGTTATAATTATTGCACATTCCCTAAGCCTATGTGCAGTTTTAGTTATAATTATTGCACATTCCCTTAGCCTATGTGCAGATTTAATTATTGCACATTCCCTAAGCCTATGTGCAGTTTTAGTTATAATTATTGCACATTCCCTAAGCCTATGTGCAGTTTTGATTGCACATTCCCTTAGCCTATGTGCAGATTTATTTATTGCACATTCCTTAAGCCTATGTGCAGATTTAATTATTGCACATTCCTTAAGCCTATGTGTAGCTTTAATGGCACATTCCCTACACCTATGTGCAGTTTTGATTGCACAATCCCTAAGCCTTTTATAATTATTTTTTAACTGCATTATCTGAGTTTAGCAGTTTAACAGCTAGTGGCACAAAAGAATGTTTGAATCTGTTCAGTTTACATAGAAGTAATTCTATAATTGTTAAATACCAGTCATAATTTAACTAAACCAATGGCCAAATATTTCCTAAATTACACGAAATGTAGAAATGTAGAAAAATGTAAATGTAAGATCAGACTAATAAAACTAAATGGCGATACCTCTCTGTGGTCATGAGCTTTGGGTAACGCCCCAAAGGATAAGATGGTGGATACAAGGGGTCAAAATGAGTTTCCCTGCAGGTGGGTGCTCCCGTAGAGATTATCACGGCGGTAAATTGGACTCAAATGCAACACAGGTACTCAGGCAAAACAAAGTCTTATTTAAATAACTGAAAGTGTCCTATAACAGGAAATGTTTATAATGACAACTCAGACTGAAAATATAACAGAGGAATATATGATACTAAATGTGAACGAAAATATCTTCCAAGACTGGGAAAACACTAGTAAAAAAACACACTGGGAGGAAACTCAGGAACAGGGACAACAAACAGGGAAACTCAGAATTGCGGACGTCACAAACAGATCAGATTCAGGGAACACAGGGTTTACAGATTTCGGGTTTTCAAATTTCAGGTTTTCAGGAGCTTGAATGTCTGTCTTAACAGGTTGACAATCTGGCAAAGACTGAGGGAGAAGAGGGAGAATATATAGACTGGGCCTGGGCTGATTACAGAATGAGGGGCAGCTGTAGGGAAAGGAGGGAGGTGGCAAAAGGAGGACCGGAACAGACTCAGAAATGGAACTGGACTGGGGAAAAATGTAAACAAAAAGGCAGAACTGTGACAGAGACAGGGTGAGGAGCTCAGTCATACAGAAGGAGCTTGGATTAGAGCAGCTGAGGAGAGGACATTTGTTCTGGACACCTCCTGGACTCATCACTGAGTGTGTTTACATGCACATCAATAACCCGGTTATTAGCCATATCCCTGTTATGTCAGTATTCGTGTTACTGTGTTTACATGAGCACTGAGAAACAGGGACACTCATATCAGCGTGTACATGATCAAATGGAGTATCCCGGTTTCTTGACATAATCTTACAAATGCGCAGGCGCAAAAATTAACTTAAATCAATTTCATAAACCAGGAAAAATACAAACCGTGAGCTCCTTTAGCATAAGAAGCTAAGGAGCTACGAGATCTCCCACAATCCACTGTGCAGATTCTTCATTAAAATCTTCTGCATAAATAAACTCAACTTTACAACATATAAACCATAAACACTATAGACACATCAGCCCGTTTGATCAGATCATTCAGCTCTGATCACATTTGTTTACGTTTTACAGAAATGAAACTTAAGACCGTAGGCTAATTAGCATAAACTGTTAGCGGCGATAAAAACAACTCGCTCCTTGTGCCGCTGATGCGATCAGTTTCTTTTTTGGACTAAATGACACGACTCTGTGGATTATGTGTGTTATTTCTGTGACAGAAGAGGCGCTAATGATGGTGAGTGTGTTCTGTGTGTGTGTTGTATAGGAGATAGTTCATGTTTTAGCTTTTCAGCGTCACACGAGTGCAGGTCGTACGTGTGCAGGTTTAGCGCAGCTCTTAATTTTACAGTCATTTCACTCGTTTGGTCACTTTATTTATGTTGGTCAATTTATTTATGTCACTACTGTTGTGGTGAAAGGCTGGAAAGTGTCTTTTGGACGCATGCGACTCAACTTTATGTTGCAGTAACCGGGATACTGCGTTTACATGCCACAAGTATCCTGGTTACTATCGGAATAAACCAGCTACAGTAACACGGTTTCTAATAACCGGGATACTGAAACCGGGTTACTGCGTTTACATGCACCATCAAGAAACCGGGATACTCAAAAAACCCGATCATAACCGGGTTATTGATGTGCATGTAAACGCTCTCACTAGGAGGTGTTACGGGCACATCCCACCAAACATTAAGTATGTAAACTGTCCTGATTTTTAGCTGAATTTTTCTATGTAAAAGACACAGGTAGATGTATTTTGTTGTACAACTCAGTCTTACTTCCTGTAAAACTGATAAATATCTTCCACAGCAACTACACCACCAAACTAAGTCATAATAAAAAGAAATACAGAAAAAAAAAAAAAACTGTCATGTGCTTTTTACACAAAAGCAGCAGCGTCTTCATTAAACGAGGTACGAGTCAGGTCTGTGGAGAGTCAAGTACGGACACGTGTTTTTCCGAGATAGATTTTTAACAATAAAACCAAGAAAAAATAAATGCCGGTTAAAATATTCCGCAGCCGGGCTTTAAAACCATTCTCCTACAGATTACAGATTACACACCACAAAATGTAGTTTGTAACAGAATCCATTAAATTACTTAAAGTGAGTAATGTAATCTGAATACTTTGGATTACTTGATTTGCTGTAGAGAAACAAAAACGAGGAAACTTAACCGTATTAAAAATATTATTGAAAGAAGATTTAGTCCTGTTAAATCCTGTTTTAGTCCTGGTTTTGTCCTGGTTTAGACCTGGTTTTAGTCCTGGTTTAGTCCTGGTTTAGTCCTGGTTTAGATCTAGTTTAGACCTGGTTTTAGTCCTGGTTTAGTCCTGGTTTAGTTTTTAGTCCTGGTTTAGATCTAGTTTAGACCTGGTTTTAGTCTGGTTTAGATCTAGTTTAGACCTGGTTTTAGTCCTGGTTTAGTCCTGGTTTAGATCTAGTTTAGACCTGGTTTAGATCTAGTTTAGACCTGGTTTTAGTCCTGGTTTCCTGGTTAGTCTAGTCTGGTTTTAGTCCTGGTTTAGATCTAGTTTAGACCTGGTTTTAGATCTAGTTTAGACTGGTTTAGTCCTTTAGTCCTGGTTTAGTTAGACTGGTTTAGTAGTCCTGGTTTAGATCCTGGTTTAGTTTTAGATCTAGTTTAGACTGGTTTAGTCTGGTTTAGATCTAGTTTAGTCTGTTTAGATCTAGTTTAGACCTGGTTTTAGTCCTGGTTTAGTCTAGTTTAGACCTGGTTTTAGTCCTGTTTAGTTTTTAGTCCTGGTTTAGATCTAGTTTAGACTGGTTTAGTCTGGGTTTAGATCTAGTTTAGACTGGTTTAGTAGACCTGGTTTAGTCTGTTTAGACCTGGTTTAGTCAGTTGTCTGTTTAGTCTGGTTTAGATCTAGTTTAGACTGGTTTAGTCCTGGTTTAGATCTAGTTGTTTAGATCCTGGTTTAGTCTGGTTTAGTCTATTTAGAGTCTGGTTTAGTTAGACCTGGTTTAGAGTAGTTTAGACCTGGTTTAGTCCTGGTTTAGATCTAGTTTAGATAATGTTTAGTAGATCTAGTTTAGACCTGGTTTAATAGTTAGTCTAGTTTTATCTGTTTAGACCTGGTTTTAGTTTTAGTCGATCTAGTTTAGACCTGGTTTAGATCTAGTTTAAAGAAAATTACAGAAAAAAAAAAAATAATGTTGTGACACTGTCGATGTCTTTTTATGCTTTATGAAATAAATAAATAAAAAAAATTAAACGAGGTACGAGTCAGGTCTGTGGAGAGTCAAGTACGGACACGTGTTTTTCCGAGATAGATTTTTAACAATAAAACCAAGAAAAAATAAATGTGGGGTAAAAAATATGAGGCTTTAAAAGCAGGCGTCAGTGTTGCTCTCACCTTGATGACGATGTGGCCCTTCCTGGTCCCGCTCCGGTCCAGCTCGCGGTGCTCCTTCACCATGACGATCTCGCCCTCCTCCTCCACCTTGTGCGTGTTCTTCTCCACATGGTTGAGGATCCTCCAGTAGTCCTCCTGGGCCACGCACACGAACTGCCCCAGAAACAAGTGAGGGCAGGCGGTCAGCTTACGGTACAAGAGCAGGCTGCCCCGGACGAACAGGGGGCAGTCGGGTAAGGGGAGGGGGGAGGAGGCGTGGCTACGGCCGAGGAAGGGCATCTGAGCGAACGGAATATCTGCTAAATCTGAGCTGGTTTTGTCATTTTTGCGAAAAGTCTTGACCAGGGGTGTCAAACTCATTTTGGTCCGGGGGCCGTATCCAAAGACTTTGATCCCAAAGGGGCCGGATCAGAAAACTCATGTCATATAAACCCCAAAAATAACAATAAGTTCAAATATTTGTGCAGAGAAACACAAATCTATTACAGAAATCTTTTTTAACTGATGAACTCTTTCTTTTACAAAATATTATAATATTATGAACAACCTGAAACTTTAAGAAAAATGCAATTTCAACACAAAGTTTTAACATGAACTTGTATAAATAGGAATAAGTAAATTTTTCTTATAAAATCCTGCACTCGGCTTCACTTTTCTCATTTTGGACATTTTTCTGATGAGGGTGTCACGGTCAACAGTCAAAACGATCGTCCTTTAAGAGCGTTTGGAAAGAGACAAGTCTTCATTTGTGCTGCTCTGGTGGGAGGGGCCACGTACAGAGACGCTGGAGACGCTGCTGTGATAAACACCACAGAAAATTAACAAGATTTTAATAAAAAATATAATTAAAATATTTTAGTAGAAAATCAGCCGAGGGCCAGATTAAAGGTCTTGGAGGGCCGGATCTGGCCCCCGGGCCTTATGTTTGACACCTGTGGTCTTGACGCTCGATATGGACTTTGATCACCCCCAACTACGACTAAAAATCTTCTGTTTTTAGATAACTGTTTCTCGTTGAAAATTGCATTCTTTTAAGTTAATTTCTGTCCATTTTTAGACTTATTTTTTATTAATGCTTTGTTTTCTTGCGTTTTCCTTTTTCACTTCAAGTTTTAGTTGTGGTAGTAAAACTTTTAAACGTGATTTTGATGCTAAAGAAAAAAAAAAAAAAAAAAGCTACCACAATGATGATTTAAAAGAGCAAATTTTTAGACCACGGAATGAAATTTTGAGCACAGACCAATCGCAGCTTTCTTAAATTCGCTCGTGCGTTCAAGACGATTCAAAAAACTAATCACGAAATGTCTAATTTTGTTTTCTTCAAGCGATTTTTTCAGCTTAAATGAGTATCTAGTTTTGGTACCAACTCTCTTTCCTATTTTTTGGAGAAATATTGGTACACAAATAAATAAATAAAGGCTAAAACTAAAGGGAAAGGTGTTGAAATCCAATCAGAAAAGGCTAAACGTCACGCCGGGTGGACCGTGTTTAAACATAGCAAATGTAAGTTATAAGTTACTGGCCAAATCGGTTCAGTTGTGAGTGGAAAGAGACGTCAAAGTACTCGCAAAAGTCTCTATTTTAATCTGCATCTGTCGGCTAAAATAATCTAGATATGTTACATGACGCCAATTTCCATCCCATTTGAGTAGCTTGGACTAATTTAGACTAGATTATCTTGATTTGAACACATTTTAACAGGTTTTAACATGATTTTTGACAGGTATAAGCAATTAAATTAAGAACAAAAACAGTCTTACCGCACTGGCAGAAAACAATGCATGTTCAAATGAATTAAAAGTCAAATAAGATTTATCTGACTAAATCTGAACGAGTCGAAACTACTCAAATCCAAGTTTTGAACGCGACTCTTTTGAATCCATGTAGATATCCTGTTTTTTTTAAAGATAATCGAGCCATTTTAGCCGTTCAGTTGAAATAAAGAGCGGTCCGTAGCCTTGTCCTGTCCCTTTGACTGACTCGTGTGTGAGCGTTTGTCTCTCTTTAAGTCACAGCACTCACTTCCTGTTTGAGCAAAGTGGAGGAACTAGCAGCTCACAAGCAAACTAAGGGCTTTTGCTTCTATATTTGCATTAGTATAGAGAATGGTTTAGGTTTAATGTTTCAAAGAATGCACGGCTGAATATTCTACTGAGGCAAAATCAGTCTAAACGTGGGGGTTTGAAGGTTACAGCTTTCAAAAAGTGACAAAAATAAACACTATATACTATGTACTAATACTATATATTTACATTTCAGTGTCTGTGCAACTTTATAGACAAACAGTCGGGTCGATTTAAAGGTTGTATGGAGGATTTTTTTTTGTTTCAAGTTGTCAGTGATAGATTATAGAGATGCAGTCGCCTTGTAATTATGATGACCAAAAAAAAGAGAATAAAAATTCATCAACTCTGGACGTGGTGGGGCTAAACATTTGCCAATAGATAACGACACTGCCTCGTTATCTGTGAGCTGACAGGCTGTCAATCAAACTCCCTACGTTTCTAGTGTAACTGACTTGCCTGCGCCGCCGTTACGTGGTTTACGTACGACTGTCACGCAGTCCACAGACGCAAGACGCACAGACGCTGTTTACTCCACCAACGCAACAGTTCTTAGCGGCTTTTTTTGACCTATATCTTCCTCGCAGTTCGCACAAAGTTTGTTGCAATGGCGACAAGAATCCAGGAGCAGTTCGCCACAAAAGAAAGTCCGTTTTTGAGGTCGCTGAAAGAAGAAGACAAGGGGAAAAGCAGCGAAGCCAAACTAAGGTGATTCTTGAAGATTCATTCCAGCGATGGCGCGAACTGAAGCAGACGAAGGGTCTAAAGACTGACGCACTGGTCCACAAATTACTCCTGGACAGGAAACTTCTGCTTATTATGAAAACGTACTTTATTTCCAAGAGCTACACAAACGTTTTTCAGGACACGAAAGCGATATCCTATGTCTGAAAACGTAATTTTCAAGGCAAAGAAAGAGTCCACTTGCTGCTGCGTGTTGTAGCTAGTTCATTCGCACTGAATCTCCGCGCAACCTTCTCTGCACCCCTTTCCTGCTCCTCTCTCCTCTGCCCCGCTCCTCACTTCTCCGTCTTGCCTAACCAACACTGTAGTTAGTTGTTTACAAGTCATGTGCAGCACCGGCTGTAAACAAACCTGTTTCTGGCGTAAGGAGGAGGAGGGAGGAGGTGTTTCTACGTAGGAGCTGTAGGGGAGGGGGGGTGGTTTCACGCATGCGCAACATTTGAAAAAGGACAGTCGCTGGATTTCTCGTTCCTTGGAAAATCCTCTATACAACCTTTAAAGTCAGTTAAACTTCATTAATCCCTTTAGTCCCCTAATTATTACACTACAAATATAAACTAAATACATTGGAATGGCTTAAATTAAGATCTGATGTGAGTTTCATTTCGGCTGGTCAAGGAAAATAAATCATATTCCATTTGAAATAAGAACAGAGCGTGTTTTTTTGAACTTGAAATAAAGAGAAACAGCATTTAATTTGCAAATAAAGTCAAAATTTACACTAGGTTAAAATTCAAACAACTTCAGCTTGTGATTTTACTGAGTGTTTTGTTAATTAATAGTAAATATCCAATTTGCATTACCAATACTGCATTGATGAATCAGTACTTTGTGTAAGTTCAAATTAAAAATAATTAAATGTAGGTGTGTGCAAAATTATTGAAATATCATTATATATCGTTTTGTTTAATGTGATGATACAGTATCGATCTCATGGGCGACTGTATTTAGAGTATTTTTTGGTATGTTTTACAAAATTTTACTGAATTATTTGTTTAAAGTGCTACAGTTTTGTTGCTTGTTCAGAGGAAGGAAACTCGTTTATGTGACACATTTGACATTTTCACTGTTTTGATGAGTAAAATGTTTGTGTTTCATATGAACTTTGCCCAAGAAAATGGTTTAACAGACTTTTAGTGTCACAGACATGATTCAGCCATTATTTTTTACTGAACCGTATCGAATCTTTTTGAAATATATCGTATCGTATCGAAAGTGCACTGGGCTGCTGTATCGATATATCACCAAAAATATTTTTTTGGTATATTTTACTAAATTATTTTGTTAAAGCCCTACAGCTTTGTTGCTTGTTTAAAGGAAGAGAATTCATATATGTATATTTTTTTACATTTTCACTGTTTTGTTGATTAAAATGTTTGTGTTTCATATGAACTTTGCACAAGAAAAGGTTTAACAAAGACTTTTAGTATCACAGACATGATTTAGACTTTATTTTTTATTGAATTGTATCGAATCGTTTTGAAATATATCGAAAGTGCACTGTATCGAGATATGTATCGTATCGTGGACTGTGTATCGAGGAGTGTATCGTATCGTGAAACTTCTTCATGATACCCAGGCCTAATTAAAGGTACAGTAAGTAACTTTGTGGATGTGGCACTTCACCTGCCTGATTCCATGGAAACAGAAAGTTAAAATCATACTCTGGGACATTCTCCATGGAGAGCATTAAAGTTTTATGCCATACTGTGTAACATTATCATAAAAAGGAACAACATGTCCATGGAAACAAGCAGGAGAAGACGCTCACTCAGAGTAAGGATGCATGTTTGTCTATGTTTTTCAGTGCATTTAGATTATTTATTTATCTATTTATTTGGCTAAAAGGTTACATACTGTGGCTTTAAAGAACAATGCTATTACTTTTCAGTTTAAGAAAGTGTGTAGAACATTGTCACAGTACATTAAAGGTTGTATAGAGGATTTTTTTAAGGGAAGAGAAATACAGCGACAGTCCTTGTGCGCGTTCAGAATTACTGTTGAAGTTTCCTGTCTAGAAGTAATTCAGCGACCGACGCGTCAGTTTTTAGACCCTTCGTCTGCTTCGGTCGCGCCATCGCTGGACGAGATCTCCAAGAATCACCTCAGTTTGGCTTCGCTCCTTTTCCTCTTCTCTTCTTCTTTCAGCGACCTCAAAAACGGACTTTCTTTTGCGGCGAACCGGTCGTGGATTCTCGTCCGCCGTCGCGACAAACTTTGTGCGAAATGCGAGGAAGCGACAGTTCGAAAAAGCCTCTAAGAACCGCTGCGTAAACCACGTAATCCCCGCGCTCCGACGAATCAGTTACACTAGGGAGTTTGATTGACAACCTAACAGCCAATAGAAAATGAGGGAGCCTCGTTTTCCATTGGCTGATGTTTATCTGGCCTCAACACGTCCACAGTTGATAGATTTTCATTCTTTTTTTTTTGGTCATCATAATTACAAAGCTGCTGCGTCTCTGTAATGGTATTTTAATCTTTGACTGACAGTTTGAAACAAAAAAAAAACCCTCCATACAACCTTTAAGGCTGAATACGTAATAGGATTATTGTCATTTTGCCCTGTTGTCTTCCTCCTGCTTGATAAACTCGGCTCACCTGGCAGTCGTCGCCTTTGGTCCGCACTTCTCCGGTCATGAACTGTTTGTCCAGAGACGGAGAGATGCCGAAACTGTTCCCCATACACAGAATCTCCACGCGGCCATCGGAGTACGAGATCTCCACCGAGCCGTTCAGGATCACGTACCAGTGGTCCAGCTGCAGGAGAAAACAAGGGTTAGAACATATGTGGCCCACAAGCAGTGTCGGGAGTAACAGATTACATGTACCAGAGTAATCAGAGTACAAATGATGAGTAACTGTATTCAGTTACAGTTACTGTTTCAGTGAGTGGTAATTGGATTACAGTTACTTTGTTGAAATAAATGGATTACACAGAGGGATTTTACTGTTTTCACATTTTGGACTAAACCCAAAACTAAACTAAAACTAAAACTAAACTAAAACCAGGACTAAACCAGGACTAAACCAGGACTAAACCAGGACTAAACCAGGACTAAGCCAGGACTAAGCTGGAACTAAACCAGGACTAAACCAGGACTAAACCAGGACTGAACTAGGACTAAACCAGGCCTAAAACCAGGACTAAACCAGGTCTAAACCAGGTCTAAACCAGGACTAAACCAGGTCTAAACCAGGTCTAAACCAGGACTAAACCAGGACTAAACCAGGTCTAAACCAGGACTAAACCAGGAACTAAACCAGGACTAAACCAGGTCTAAACCAGGACTAAACCAGGTCTAAACCAGGTCTAAACCAGGTCTAAACCAGGACTAAACCAGGACTAAAACCAGGTCTAAAACCAGGACTAAACCAGGACTAAACCAGGTCTAAACCAGGTCTAAACCAGGTCTAAACCAGGACTAAACCAGGTCTAAACCAGGTCTAAACCAGGACTAAACCAGGACTAAACCAGGACTAAACTAAACAGGTCTAAACCAGGTCTAACCAGGACTAAACCAGGTCTAAACAAAGTCTAAACCAGGTCTAAACCAGGACTAAACCAGGACTAAACCAGGTCTAAACCAGGACTAAACCAGGTCTAAACCAGGACTAAACCAGACTAAACCAGGTCTAAACCAGGTCTAAACCAGGACTAAACCAGGACTAAACCAGGACTAAACCAGGTCTAAACCAGGACTAAACCAGGACTAAACCAGGTCTAAACCAGTCTAAACCAGGACTAAACCAGGTCTAAACCAGGTCTAAACCAGGTCTAAACCAGGTCTAAACCAGGACTAAACCAGGACTAAACCAGGTCTAAACCAGGACTAAACCAGGACTAAACCAGGTAAACCAGGACTAAAACCAGGACTAAACAGGTAAGGACTAAACAGGACTAAACCAGGTCTAAACCAGGACTAAACCAGGTCTAAACCAGGACTAAACCAGGTCCAGCTGCAGGAGAAAACAAGGGTTAGAACAAAAAAAAGAATAAATAAATAAATATAGAGTAAAACGTTGGTGTTTGAGAAGACATATTGTACTTTGGTCTGTTATATAGTTATAATCCATGACATCCTTGGAGGATTATGTCAAAGTGCAATGTACGACCTGTAAATATTCAAGGACTGTTTGAGATGAGAACAAACCACTTCAATTTAAAAGGAACATTCATGTTTAAATAACCCAGATTCAGAACCAAGGTTATGGAGCGAAGCATCACTGTGAAAGAAGTAAACTTATGGAAGAGTCTGGACAAAGAAATAAAAGAATCAAGTACAATGACGACATTTTAAAAAATACTTAAAATCAAATAAGAAAACTAAGCTGTTGTGCGTAAAAGTGAAGATTTCTGTTTACGACTGATTAATAATTGTGACACTGTTGATGTCTTTTTATACTTGATGAATGAAATAAATAAACTGATATTTACCGTATTTTCTGCACTATTAGTCGCTCTGGATTATGCGGCACACTGTCATTAAATGGTCTATTTTTGAACTTTTTTCACAAATAAACTGCGTGGGACTTTAAAGGAAACCCAACAGTGTGATGGGTGAGTGGTTTTGTTTGTTTGTTCACGGTGACTCTGGGCTTTGTTCAGTTGTGGCGTGTAGGGAGGGTGTGTCTGGGACCAACGGATTGTCGGCGTGTTCGCAGTGACTCAGTTGTTCAGTCGTGTCTAGAAGCGGCACGTCGCGCTCGCTTTTTCGGTTCGTTCCTCCGTTCCGTTCCTCGTCGGCGTGGAGTGACGAGTGTGTCTGTGGGTGTGTTTCGCTGTGCGGTCGCTGTCTGCTCCGTGTGTGTTTGCGTGTTCTGCGGGTGGCGCGACTTTGTAGTTTACTGAAGTCGTGCTGGGACACTCGAGTGGATTCGTGTAAAGCACAGGTGTCAAACATAAGGCACGGGGGCCAGATCCGGCCCTCCAAGACCTTTAATGTGGCCCTCGGCTGATTTTCTACTAAAATATTTTAATTATATTTTCTATTAAAATCTTGTTAATTTTCTGTGGTGTTTATCACAGCAGCGTCTCCAGCGTCTCTGTACGTGGCCCCTCCCACCAGAGCAGCACAAATGAAGACTTGTCTCTTTCCAAACGCTCTTAAAGGACGATCGTTTTGACTGTTGACCGTGACACCCTCATCAGAAAAATGTCCAACATGAGAAAAGTGGAGCCGAGTGCAGGATTTTACAACAAAAATGAACTTATTCCTGTTTGCATTCAAGTTAATGTTAAAACATTGTGTTGAAATTGTATTTTTCTTAAAGTTTCAGGTTGTTCATAATATTATAATATTTTGTAAAAAAGAGTTCATCAATTAAAAAAATTTCTGTAATAGATTTGTGTTTCTCTGCACAAATATTTGAACTTATTGTTATTTTTGGGGTTTATATGACATGAGTTTTCTGATCTGGACACTTTGGGATCAAAGTCGGTTGGATACGACCCCCGGAACAAAATGAGTTTGACACTCTCTGGACTGTGAGGCGCGCTGTCGTTTTCTGATGGGGCTGGAGGCTTAAGACCGCGTCTAATAGCCCGGAAAATACGGTAAATAAATAAATGTTATATTCTGCGGTAGATTGGAGCAAAGACGTCGTGAATACAGAAGAATAAAGATTACTGAAACATGAATCTCTAAATACAACTTGGAGAGGGTATATGAGGAAAAAAAAACAACTACGACACGGTTAAAAGCTCGGAAACGTCCTCCTCCTTTTATATGGTGTCCAAATAATGCTCCTTGGCCGAGTTACAGGTCAGATTTAGTCGTCCAGATCTCACTCCTCGTCCTTCCGCACTGTCCACTTTAGTCCTCCAGGTCCAGTTTAGCCGCTCTGTTCGAAATGTGGTTGTGGGCGGAGTCAGGTGTTTAATCCCACTTTTTAAATTACGTTTCTACGCTGCTCAGTGTTCTCTCTGCGACCTCCACGGACACACAGTAGGAACACGTCTGTCACCGGCCTCGCTGCAGACGCTCTAAAAACAGCTCGGTGCTTTCGCGTCTGTTTGTCTAAGATAGTTCTGGTTCCTGTGCTCTTAAACGGTCTCTGCTTCTGCTTCATTTCATTTTAAACGGTCTGGAAAGAAGCAGCGTAATGGCATTTATCTCAATTTTAGCGTTCAGCCGTCGGGAAAGAGCTTAAAGAGGGAGTACTGCACTTTTAAAACGTTATATTTGCAGAAAACAACGTATTGACATGTTTTACGAGTTCCACTTTTGCCCCCTCTGCCTTTGCTCCCCGTGCTAAGTCACCCCTCCTTCAAAGCGTTATCACAACACAATACCCAGTGTCGGGGAGTAACAGATTACATGTAATCAGAGTACAAATGATGAGTAACTGTATTCGGTTACAGTTACTGTTTCAGTGAGTGGGAATTGGATTACAGTTACTTTGTTGAAATAAATGGATTACACAGAGGGATTTTACTGTTTTCACATTTTGGGCTAAACCAGGACTAAACCAGAACTAAACTGGGACTAAACTAGAACTAAACTAGGACTAAACTAGGACTAAAACTAAAACTAAACTAGGACTAAAACTAAAACTAAAACTAGGACTAAACCAGGACTAAAACCAGAACTAAAACTAAAACTAAACTAGGACTAAAACTAGAACTAAACCAGGACTAAAACCAGAACTAAAAACTAAAACTAAACTAGGACTAAACTAGAAAAACTAAACCAGGACTAAACTAGGACTAAAACCACTAGAACTAAACTAGGACTAAAACCAGGACTAAACTAGGAACTAAAACCAGAAAACTAAACTAGGACTAAACCAGGACTAAACTAGGACTAAAAACCAGAACTAAACTAGGACTAAACCAGGACTAAACTAGGACTAAAACCAGAACTAAACTAGGACTAAACTAGAAAACTAAACTAGGACTAAAACCAGGACTAAACCAGGACTAAAACCAGAAATAAACCAGGACTAAACTAGAACTAAACCAGGACTAAACCAGGACTAAAACTAAAACTAAACTAGGACTAAAACTAGGACTAAACTAAACTAAACTAGGACTAAATCAGGACTAAACCAGAACTAAACTAAAAAACATTACAATATCAAGTAATCCAGAGTATTCAAATTACGTTACTCACTTTAAGTAATTTAATGGATTACGTTACAAACTACATTTTGGCTGCGTCACTGGATACTCGTCCCTGATTGGTCGACGCGGCACGTCTGACGCGAAAAGTTCAGCATTTCCAACTTCTTGACGCTGACGACAAAACGATCAAGACGCGCCGCGCTGACGCCAGATTCGCGCCGCGCTGACGCCGAAGACGCGCCGCAAAAACGCAGGACGCTCTAGTCGCACGTCCACATAGACCACAGGTGTCAAACATAAGGCCCGGGGGCCAGATCCGGCCCTCCAAGACTTTTAATGTGGCCCTTGGCTGATTTTCTACTAAAATATCTTAATTATATTTTCTATTAAAATCTTGTTAATTTTCTGTGGTGTTTATCACAGCAGCGTCTCCAGCGTCTCTGTACGTGGCCCCTCCCACCAGAGCAGCACAAATGAAGACTTGTCTCTTTCCAAACGCTCTTAAAGGACGATCGTTTTGACTGTTGACCGTGACACCCTCATCAGAAAAATGTCCAACATGAGAAAAGTGGAGCCGAGTGCAACTTATTCTTGTTTCCATACAAGTTAATGTTAAAACTTTGTGTTGAAATTGAATTTTTCTTAAAGTTTCAGCTTGTTCATAATATTATAAACTTATAATAAGAAAGAGTTCATCAGTTAAAAAAGATTTCTGTAATAGATTTGTGTTTCTCTGCACAAATATTTGAACTTATTGTTATTTTTGGGGTTTATATGACATGAGTTTTCTGATCCGGACACTTTGGGATCAAAGTCGGTTGGATACGGCCCCCGGACCAAAATGAGTTTGACACCCCTGACATTGACTTTACATTGAAACTGGACGCTTTGACGCCTCGGTGTGAACGACCCTTTAATGTGTCGTCTAACATTTTAAAATAGCTTTACTCTTGCTTTAGCGTAGAAATCCACATATGGGCCTCATTTCAAAAACAGCAGTGGAGCTCACCTCCTGTCTGTGCTGCAGTATGACCGTGGCCGCCTGCTCCACCACCTCAAACACCATGACGCTGCACAGCTCTCTCCTCACGGACATGGTCATGTTGGCGAAGGCCGGGAGCTGGTGCATGAACTCCAGCAGCTGCTCTGGAAACACACACAGTAAACAAAGACGTCAACAAGAGAACAGGCAGGGCTCAACCGATCGGGAAAACATCTACTTGTGATTTTTCTGATGACGGTTTTGACTAGATTTACAATTTATGTTTTAATTATAGGATTCTGTTCAAAGTTCACAGAAGAAATGACAAAAAGATAAAAAAAGAATTGATGAACTAATACAAGAATGACTTTTCAGAACATGTTTGTGCAGGGTTAGCGGTTTTTATGCAGAATAGTCAGGATATTTTGTTGTTACCTCCGCCAAGGAGGTTATGTTTTTGCCAGCGTTTGTTTGTTTGTTTGTTTGTCTGTTTGTTTGTTTGTTTGTTTGTTTGTTTGTTTGTCTGTTTGTTTGTTTGTTTGTTTGTTTGTTAGCAACATAACTCAAAAAGTTATGGACCAATTTTGATGAAATTTTCAGGATTTGTTGGAAATGTGAAAAGGAAGAACTGATTTCATTTTGGGGGTGATCCGGAAGAAATCCTGGATTCTGGATCACTTTGAAATTTTTGTTAACATTGTGGTAAATGGGGCCAAAAATTTTGTTTCTCAATATCTCGGGTTAATTATTGACCAAACCCCATGAAATTTGACTCAGGGATGGACAATGGGATCCTCTTTCATATTCCAAATTGAAAGATACGAGACAAATATTTATGGAAAACACAATTAATATGAGGGGGACTGTAGTCCTTGGCGGAGTCTGCGCTCTCTGAGTGCTTTTCTAGTTTTGACTAGATTTGCGATTTATGTTTTAACTAGAAAAGCAGTCAGAGAGCGCAGACCTCCGCCAAGGACTACCCCCATTTTTTATAAATAAATTGTGATAAAAATCAGTCTTCTGGATCAGATCCGGAACTAAAATTTCAAAGTGATCCAGAATTTTTGGATCAGCCCCTGAAAATTCACATTTCCAACAAATCCTGAAAATTTCATCAAAATCGGTCCATAACTTTTTGAGTTATGTTGCTAAGAGACAAACAAACAAACAAACACAAACAAACGCCGGCAAAAACATAACCTCCTTGGCCGAGGTAATTATAGGATTCTGTTCAAAGTTCACAGAAGAAATGACAAAAAGATAAAAATAGAACTGACGAACTAATACAAGAATGACTTTTCAGAACATGTTTGTGCAGGTTTAGCAGTTTTTATGCAGAATAGTCAGGATATTTTGTTGTTTGTGGAAGAAATTGTGTTACATTTTCATTTGTTTCGCCAGATAAACAAGAGCGTGTGCAAAAACCCAACCCATGACGAAGCACATGTACTAATGAAAGGTTCTGACGGCTTTCAGATTGTCCCTGCGTCGCGCCTTTTCTCTCTCTTCTCTCTCGTCTCAGAACATAGTGACCTGAGCAGACGCTTTCATTTCCTTTTCTCGAAGTCGGTCTGAACAAAACCAGGTCAAACAGTCACGCTCTTTTTTCATTTCATCTGCAGAACAAGACTCCTCACGGCGGACAGAAGATACGCGAATAATAACGTGACAAATGCGTGTGGTGTAATCTGAATTTGGCCGCAGGCTGCGAGCTGATAAAATCTGATCTCATTCTTGTGACATGTTTTTCTGATAAACAACTTTTTTTCCTGCCAACACCTCCGACCGGTCGAACTCAGCAGTGCTCTGAGTGAGTGACAGCTGGATTTAAAGGTTGTATAGAGGATTTTTTTAAGGGAAGAGAAATACAGCGACAGTCCTTGTGCGCGTTCAGAATTACTGTTGAAGTTTCCTGTCTAGAAGTAATTCAGCGACCGACGCGTCAGTTTTTAGACCCTTCGTCTGCTTCGGTCGCGCCATCGCTGGACGAGATCTCCAAGAATCACCTCAGTTTGGCTTTGCTCCTTTTCCTCTTCTCTTCTTCTTTCGGCGACCTCAAAAACGGACTTTCTTTTGCGGCGAACCGGTCGTGGATTCTCGTCCGCCGTCGCGACAAACTTTGTGCGAAATGCGAGGAAGCGACAGTTCGAAAAAGCCTCTAAGAACCGCTGCGTAAACCACGTAATCCCCGCGCTCCGACGAGTCAGTTACACTAGGGAGTTTGATTGACAACCTAACAGCCAATAGAAAATGAGGGAGCCTCGTTTTCTATTGGCTGATGTTTATCTGGCCTCAACACGTCCACAGTTGATAGATTTTCATTCTTTTTTTTTTTTGGTCATCATAATTACAAAGCTGCTGCGTCTCTGTAATGGTATTTTAATCTTTCACTGACAGTTTGAAACAAAAAAAAATCCTCCATACAACCTTTAAGCAACTGCAATGAAGCGTGAACATTCAGAAGAATCAGATGACATGAATGATCGAGTATAAAGATCTAAAGAGAGGCGACAGTCTGAGTGAACTGTGCAAAAAATAAAAATAAAACAAAAAACATGAAAAAAAATCATATCTGTGGAGACAATCGGGTAACACAACTGAGCCAAGTTACAGGTCAGATCTGTGGAGTGGCGACCCCGCTCACAGTAAGAATGCAGACAAGTTATTTTTCACTAAAACACTTTTTTTACAGACAAAATTCAAGACAAGATTTTTATATGAGACACTCCTGCCTTAAATTATCCACCTACTGTTAGTGTCATACTGTTTCACTCCTAGTTTAGTCCTGCTTAGTCCTGATTTTAGACCTGATTTAGTCCTGGCTTAGACCTGGTTTAGACCTGGTTTAGACCTGGTTTAGTCCTGGTTTGGTCCTGGTTTTAGTCCTGGTTTTAGACCTGGTTTAGTCCTGGTTTAGACCTGGTTTAGTCCTGGTTTAGACCTGGTGTAGTCCCGGTGTTTGTCCTGGTTTTGGTCCTGGTTTTAGTCCTGCTTTTGGACCTGGTTTAGTCCTGGTTTAGTCCTGGTTTAGACCTGGTTTAGTCCTGGTTTAGACCTGGTTTAGTCCTGGTTTAGACCTGGTTTAGACCTGGTTTAGACCTGGTTTAGACCTGGTTTAGACCTGGTTTAGTCCTGGTTTAGACCTGGTTTAGTCCTGGTTTAGACCTGGTTTAGTCCCGGTGTTGGTCCTGGTTTTGGTCCTGGTTTTAGTCCTGCTTTTGGACCTGGTTTAGTCCTGGTTTAGACCTGGTTTAGTCCCGGTGTTGGTCCTGGTTTTGGTCCTGGTTTTAGTCCTGCTTTTGGACCTGGTTTAGTCCTGGTTTAGACCTCGTTTTAGTCCTGGTTTAGTCCTGGTTTAGACCTGGTTTAGACCTGGTTTAGACCTGGTTTAGCCCAAAATGTGAAAACAGTAAAATCCCTCTGTGTAATCCATTTATTTCAACAAAGTAACTGTAATCCAATTACCACTCACTGAAACAGTAACTGTAACTGAATACAGTTACTCATCATTTGTACTCTGATTACTTAACTCCAGTACATGTAATCTGTTACTCCCGACACTGACTCTATATCTGTACTGGGGAAACATGAACAAGAAAAAAGTCTTATTAGTTACTTGTTATTTACTTCCTCTTGTGTGTGTTTTTGTTTTTGTTTTTTTTTGTTTTTTGTTTTGTTTTTGTTGTTTTTGTTTTTTTTTTTGTTTTAGTTTTTTTTTTTGTTTTTTTTCTTCCTGAATGCCACCTCTCACGGCTGAGGCCTTTAGCGTTGCTTTGATGCCCCCTCCTCCTGCAGGACCCCGTGGAGCACTAATGAGCTGCCTCCTCGTCTGCCTGTTCACAAATACAGGAGAAGCACCACGAGAGTTTCAACGCTCCACACGACGTCCAGAGCATCTGTGAAACCTGACTGTGACCGAGAGTAACAGATTACATGTACCAGAGTTAAGTAATCAGAGTACAAATGATGAGTAACTGTATTCAGTTACAGTTACTGTTTCAGTGAGTGGTAATTGGATTACAGTTACTTTGTTGAAATAAATGGATTACACAGAGGGATTTTACTGTTTTCACATTTTGGGGCTAAACCAGGACTAAAACCAGGTCTAAACCAGGACTAAACCCAGGACTAAACCAGGTCTAAACCAGGACTAACCCAGGACTAAACCAGGACTAAACCAGGACTAAACCAGGTCTAAACCAGGACTAAACCAGGACTAAAACCAGGACTAACCAGGACTAACCCAGGACTAAACCAGGACTAACCAGGACTAAACCAGGACTAAAGGACTAAACCAGGTCTAAACCAGGTCTAAACCAGGACTAAACCAGGACTAAAACCAGGACTAAACCCAGGACTAAACCAGGTCTAAACCAGGACTAAACCAGGTCTAAACCAGGTCTAAACCAGGACTAACCAGGACTAAACCAGGTCTAAAACCAGGACTAACCCAGGACTAAACCAGGTCTAAACCAGGACTAAACCAGGGTCTAAACCAGGACTAAACCAGGACTACAAAGTTTCTACAAAGTGAAACCGACTGAATCAGACACTTGTTGGTAAAATGTGCTATAAAAATAAAGTTGGATTGAAATGGTTGTTGGTTCAATCTTGCATTTATTTCTTTATGGGCGTTTTATTTCTACAAACGCCAGAGAAAAGAAGCTTTCTTAAAAGTGGGAGCGACTGCGTGTGACTTGGCCTGGTGGTGTCGTCTGCTTGTTTCCATGGTGACAGATACGTTTAATGCACACTGTGGAACAATCGAGGCCAAGCTGTTATAGAGGAACCAAATATATCTGCAAGTGTTGTTCAAATACACCTTGAATAACTTACATTCATATTGTGAGTGGGGTTTTTGCCACAGATCTGACCTGTAAAGTCGCTTGATTGTCTCCACAGAGATACAGTCGTTTAAGGCCGTACAGTTATTGATAATGTCTTGACTGAACATTCAAATGAAAAAAAAAAACAAAAAGAAAAAAAAAACGCCAAAGTCAAAGGTGTCAAACATACGGCCCAGGGGCTGGATCCGGCCCTCCAAGACCTTTAATCTGGCCCTCGGCTGATTTTCTACTAAAATCTTGTTAATTTTCTGTGGTGTTTATCACAGCAGCGTCTCCAGCGTCTCTGTACGTGGCCCCTCCCACCAGAGCAGCACAAA